ATGGTTGATTTTTGGGTCGTGAGACATTTATATTTCTTTATATTCAATCTTAAATACACATTACATCATTATTATACAATGTATATAACTAGACATAGTTATGTAGATATGAAATAGTGATACGCATATAAACATAGACAAATATTACAAACATATGAAAGACTCCATTCTATAATACCGCACCAAAGGCAACAAGGGGACTTAAGTAGTAATCTTTTGTTGTTCAGTTTTGATACAAAATAAGTTTAATTACCAAAAAAAACAAAAAGAAGTTTAAAGATAAAGGATAACGCAGACCAACTAAGTCAAGAAAAGGACTCTCTTACTTCTCTTTCACAGTATTGACTTACACTCCACTTTGATTATTATTACTTAGCTTCTTATCACATTCTACGGTTTCTACCCAATAAATTACCACATTAATGATCAATACTGGAAATAAATCATTAAAATAAAGGGATAATTTCATATAAATACAACTCACACACCTGACTTGCAACATAATAGCCTAGATACCACTTTGCAAATCTATAGCCCAAAAAATAATAGGCTAATTCCCGAAAGATAGCTTATTTTGCTCCCTCTGTATACAACCAGTTGTTTTCATTCTGTTGATTTCCTTTGATTATTAAGCATTTGATAAAAAAATGCAAATCAACCAAAACGCAACTCAAAAATCCTAAATAATACATATTATCTGAAGGTAAGAAATTCAAACACTTTTATGTGCAATTGCTGAAGCAATCCAACAGGATAAAAGAAAAATAAAAACTTGGTAAATGAATTGTAGAATCCCTCCAACGCTCATACAACACATTACACGAAAAAGAAGAAGAGAAGNCGCATCAAATCAGTTCCAATCAAGCTAGAACTACGAATGCAACTTCCCAACAGGTGTAGGGATGAACCCCAGTGACTAATTTGAACAAACGCTCACGAAATCAACGAACCCTAGGTCGTCTTCTTCTTCGCACAATCAGCTCAAAATTTCGAACCAAAAACTAGCAAATCAGTTCAAATCAAGCTAATCCTTCCGATGCAGCTTTAAAATGATGTTTCCAACTAGATTCCCAAACTCCCAATCGAATTCAAACTCAAATCACGGAACCGGAATAAAAAATTCCCAAAATCGCTTCTGATATTCGATGTTAGGGTTCAGAAGCTCAATCCCAGCTTAGCCAAACTCAAACCAGTAATACTAGCTCAGATAATGAAGGAATTCAGAAATTTCAGAATCAAAATCGAGCAAGAGAACAAGGAATTTCGAGTTTCTCTTTGGAACAGACAAAGGAAGAACAATGAGATACAATTCCTAATTCAAACACGGATGAACAGTAAACTTTCTACTTTTTTTTTGGAATTTTTCGTTTTTTTTCCCAGCTTAGTTGAGCGAAGGATTGATAGAACAATCCAAAACCTCCGCTCTGATACCAGATGATACCAACTATGAACCAAAACACGGATATGACAAAATACGCGGAATCAACAATAAAAGCTAGACCTACAATTGATTGGAAGAACCAGAACCAATTAGGCTATGAAGCCTAATTACCTCTACGAACTCAATCAATTGTAACCTTAAGCTATGAAAACCCTCAAGAGATTGACAACTCTTGAAAACCCAGATAAAGTAATTAAGCATTCACTACTAATTGCTCACCAACTAAGACTAATTTAGCACTAATCAAAGCATAAACAAAGCAATAAAGGAATTAAAGGCATAAACATAAATGCATTAATTAAAAGATAAGGAAAGAGTGTGAGACTTGCATGTCTTCAAGGTTTATCATTCATCAAGTCTACCTAAAATAAAAGGGATAATTTCACATAAATACAACTCACACACCTGACTTGCAACATAATAGCCTAGATACCACTTTGCAAATCTATAGCCCAAAAAATAATAGGCTAATTCCCGAAAGATAGCTTATTTTGCTCCCTCTGTATACAACCAGTTGTTTTCATTCTGTTGATTTCCTTTGATTATTAAGCATTTGATAAAAAAAATGCAAATCAGCCACAACGCAACTCAAAAATCCTGAATAATACATATTATCTGAAGGTAAGAAATTCAAACACCTTTATGTGCAATTGCTGAAGCAATCCAACAGGATAAAAGAAAAATAAAAACTTGGTAAATGAATTGTAGAATCCCTCCAACGCTCATACAACACATTACACGAAAAAGAAGAAGAGAAGGAAGTGTCAAACTTCTGTAGAGGCCTCTTACACACTAACAATGTATATACATCCTTATAAACTGAAAAATTATATAATTATACAATATTATACACAAATATACACAATTATACAATACTGTATAACTTTGTATAAACATGTATAATAGTGTACAAGAGGTGTTTGTATATCCATATACACAATTATACACTAGTATACAGTGTTGATACAAACTGCTACATAGTTATGATTTTTATCCGAACCCAATTTCAGATTCGAGACTTCAAGGTCATAATAATAATGACCAGAACTTCAAACTTCAAAATCTTCCAACATTAGTGGTTATTTTTTGGTGCAAATAAAGTTTGAGAGCTATTTATTTTCAGATCTGTGTGTATTTTCATGTTTCTTTCAAAAATCTTCTTCATTCTTCTGCTTGCCACCATGGACGACGGAGTTTTTCTTCGAGCCTTCTTCGAGCCATTAATGGCAGAACTGGGCGGGGGGGGGGGGGGGGTGGGGGGGGGGTAGGGAACGTATCGGGGGGTC